AGTACATGCACGTTGCTATAAAAGTGCATTTATCTTGATGCGGCGTTAAACCCTAACCTCTCCAGATTATCCAGGGTACTATATCCATACGGTCGTGATAAATACCCGGAAACTATTCGATGGCGAACAGGATAGGGATAGCATGATGTTAGAAATAGTCGTCCAGTCAAATTGCTAACACGATCCACAGACATGTTGAGCAAAGTTAGAGATTGGAGTGGTTAATGTCGACATCTTCCCGAGGCAAAGGAGTTTATCTGACGGGATCGGGTGGTCAGGCTCGCTGACTTGGTTGATGCAAGGTGTCAATCACTGGATTGTCTGGTACAGACTCGATTATCTACAAACTGTCGTCATATAGCTGTAATATTGCTGAATGCGGCGTTAAGAAACAAACAAGAAAACGTATACACCTGAAGATATATGACGGCGGTCTGGAAATAATCGATTCTGGACCAGACAATCATGAGCATCGATCCACGCAATGAAGTGTTTCCTTTGAATTCCAGCAGTGGCTATACAGCCAACAGATTTATTTGTGTGTTGGTTAAAGACGTAAAATTTCACCATGTGTCGCCAGCCTGTAAATAATCGAGCCTGGACCACACAATCCAGTGAGTGATATTATGAGCAACGATTCACACAGTCGTGGCGCGAGGGCACGCAGTCACCGAGCCAGATCTCCCGATCCATTAGGTCGCGTCTTAAGCCGCTGGGGACCAAATAAACCCTGAATGAAAACAGAAATGCTTGAAAAGTGATTTTTAAATAAAATAAATATAGATACAGTAATGTACGGTTATAACGAACTCAAAGGGACTACTAATTTTAGTTCGTTATAACCGTAGTTCGTTATAAGCATATATACAGCATAATACAGCTAATTATCGGGACCAAAAAAGTAGTTCGTTATATCCGTCAGTTCGTTATAAGCGTGTTCGTTATAACCGTAGTTTACTGTATATATAAATATATATATAAATTGTTTACTGGGCATACTGGGTGTTCTAAAAACATATGAGCCAAAAAAAAAAACTCTATAAAAAAATAGCGTTGATGTATTTAAATATGATGCTTGTAGATATTAAAACTTTTTCTCGTCGATGTATGGCTGAAATAATGCCGATGCGACGTTTTCACTCACTCACTCTAACTCAAAGTGCCGTGGATCCCAAAAAAGTGTTTGCTCCCATTCAGAGAAAAGGGTGAACATTCGGAAACGCTGACTAATTCTGTCTCAAACAGAAATCTCTGTGTAGGATGTCAGTCAAATTATACGTATCAACTGATAGAAAAGTAGACGAAGTGTCGAGCTCATGAATGTGTACATATTCTTCTGTCACCAAGTTAAGCAAATTTACAAGTAATGTGTTTTCTACATAAAATAGCGGTGCCATATGAATTTGATCCCTATGAAAGTATCCCCTGTGCATATCGGTGTCTACTCAGCATAAAGCATCCCTTTATGCTGAGTAGACACCGCGGGATTTTATTTGTCTCCTGGGTCAAAAATATTCCCCTTCAATGCAGTAAAACGTCCCTTCGCCATAATGGTGACGATCTCCAAATTTGTTTTTCATGTCTAATTTTGACTTGGGCATTTAAAACGTTTATGTTTTCATGAACACTGTAATAAAAAATAAAGACACCATGCATGTTATGTATAATCACGAACTCGTCAATATATTTCACAATTCATCATGAAAAACAAAACAAAATATGAGCGTAACACACTGGTTGTGTTCAAAAACGTCCCTGTCACAAGGAAACGATCCTGACATTACCAACTGATAACCGACATTGACAAAATGCTCCTGGTTTAAATTCATAATTGCGATATTCACATTCAATTGGGATAATAATATTTCGCAAATGGTTCATTGTGTTCCCACGAGCATATAAACGTGTTTGGTCCCATTGCAAGTGTTATGTTCCAACTGTATCCGAAACCGTTATGTAGGTGTGGTCCGAATAAGCCGATCAACATGATCACGTTTCACTGTACACGAAACTGAGCAATCGTGATGATCAGCAACAGAAGGCGTGGACAGCGTGTAAGGGTAAGGGAAATAACTCTGTTCAAGCTTGTTGCATTCTGTTTCCCTTACGACTGTTTTCAGAACATAGAAGAACGTTAAATGGCACTTAGTGAGGCGAACTATGTGGCGATAAGGCTGCATAAAATATCGTAACTAACCTAGATGTATTTTGTGTAGCAGTGACCAACCCAGTTTGTGAAAGCAATTATCGGTGAAGACTTAGAAAAGGAACAGATGTGTTACTTTAATTTAACACAAGGCTTTTCACAAAGAAATGTGGCGTCGGTAAAATAGTCCGAAGGGTGATTCTTACATGTACGGGGGAAGCCATCATAGGTATTGTAGAGCTAGTAAACATAGAACAAACTAGATGATATTATGATTCATACTAATTAATACTGATCATAATTACCCGTTCTCCATACACATGCGTAGAGGGCACTACCTGAATATTTCCCAGTGCCACGTGCCTCACTTGAAAGCGACGAACCCGCAAGTACAACAAATGGGAATTCCCAATAGTGTGGAAAAAGTGAATGAGTGTTGTTTTGTGCTTCATTCTGCAATATTCCAACTATATGTACCGTATTCGACGTAAAAAGCGCCCCGCTTTAATAAGCACCCACGGCTATATTTGCTAATATATTGGCTAATGAACAATCCTAATTAGCACCCTTCCGATTGATGTATACAATGTATACACAAGACTTATTTATTCGTGTATAATACGCACTCGTGTGTTATGTGCACCCTTAATTACGGGCAATTAAATTCTGGAAAAAATATATCTGTCGTGTATAATACCCACAAACTTTTCTTTTGTATCATTTCAGGCTGTCAGCATAAACCACGAAATTTACGATCTTCCAACTCTTTCACCAAAATTATTTTCTAATAAGAGCCCCCTATTTCTAATTTTGAGAGAGCCCTGGGCTCTTATTACCTCGAATACGGTATATCATAGCGATATAATCAAGTCTGGCAAAATTATCCCCGCGTACGTTAACATACATTCGACAAGTTTACACACAGAGATCCAGGTTTTATAGTCCCCATTAAGGCACACATTTGGTGGAAGGTACCTTCTCTACCCTGGAATCACCCCGTGTCGATACCAGCAGACAGTACACCGTCATACCCAAGCGCTGATTGAAAAGGACGGGTATTGTTTGTGAACACAAGTTACCATAGTTCTTGATGGAAACAAATAATCAGCAAAACAATTTTGCTCATGGTCTCGTCAAGATATCACTAACTGTTTGTCGTTGAAGGCCGCACGCAGCAATATTCCAGCTGTATGACGGCGGGCTGTATTCAATAGAGTCCAGACCAGACAATCCAGTGATTGACATCATGAGCATTGATCTATGCTGAGTCCAGACCAGACAATCCAGTGATTGACATTATGAGCATTGATCTATGCTTATCTATGACCAGACAATCCAGTGATTGACATCATGAGCATTGATCTATGCTTATCTATGACCAGACAATCCAGTGATTGACATCATGAGCATTCATCTATGCTTATCTATGACATGCATCAACCAAGTCAGCAAGCCTGACCATCCAATCAGTTGAGTCGCATCTAACGACAAGCATGGGTTGCTGAAGACAAATCCTAACCCGGGCACAAATCACCGACTACGTTGTTGCATTGCTATACACGTTTCGTATCGGCTGTCACCAATGCAACCTCCTTGTTGTAATGCTTATTCAGTAGAGTATGTATAAATGTTCATCGTTTAACAAATGTGATTCACGCATGAGAAAGGTGATTTACAATAGACAAGAACTTTCTTGACTATAGTGCTATATATGGTTCTGAGCTCAATCGGGGCGGTCGGGTAGCCTAGTGGTTAAAGCGTTCGCTTGTCACGCCGAAGACCCGGGTTCGAATTTCCCACATTGGTACAAGTGTGAATACCATTTCTGGTGTCCCCAGCCGTGATATTGCTTGAATATTGCTAAAAGCGGCGTAAAACCATACTCACTCACTCGAACCTCAGTGAGTAGTGATATCGCTGCGGGAGCCTGCACGTTGCCCGTTCTCAATAGATATATTCATTGGAAGTTGTGCAAGAGGAATTCTTCCACAAATTTTGAAATTACTCGATTCTGACTGGTCAATCGGAAGTTATGAAATCAGAATAAACGCCCTCTGATTGAACAGACGATTTGACGGGTGCATCACCCCAGAAGTTAATATTTACAGATAAGTACTAATTCTTTTTCAGTCATTGTCGTACCCATTTCGGTTCAGTTCCAAATTCCATCTAGCGCGGTCATATCTACATGTAGTCCAGCTCGACACTGACAACACAGAGTGTGTATCTCCGAATTGTTTTCTGTCGTTCGTTTCACATAACTTTCCATGGACAGCCTAATGTTGTTGATAAGAATTAATATGAAAGGGGGGGATTTCATGAGGTTGAAGAGCAAGGGAAAGGTGCTAATTGTGGATCCGAACCACCGACTATAAGATTCTGGAACGCCTAAGGGACGCAACTCTGCACATTGAACCTCACGTTGCCCTCTTAACTGGTATAACTACGTGCAGTAACCGCCGATAAATAAATAAAGAAAGAAAGATTATTTGGTGCGTGTGTTTCTGTATCATGTATTAAATAAAAATTGGGAACGCTGTCAATAGTTTTTAAGCAAGTAGACATTCGTATCAAGTTTATAAGATTGGTTGATCGCATCGACAACATTGTCCATTAAGTAGTGAACAAATTTAACTGCGTAATCCAATCGCAAAATCCAATAGTTCACGCACTTAAGAATAATATATATGCCTCTTCACTCTAAATTATCTTCTCCTGTTGTTGGTGTTATGAGTATTCGATTTTATATTACTTTGTTGCACCAGAAAAAGTTTATTGACAGACTAGACTCTATTTGTATTTTACTTCATTATATGAAGTAGCGCACGGCATATAACAATAGTTGCATGTTGAATAGTATCAGTGACGTCATTGGATAGCCTTCCCAATTCGCCATTTTGTGCAGATATATTTACATCCAGCATATTCCACGTTTCCAAAATGGGAAATACTTTCCTTAAATTGTTCACTGGCTTGTTTGGAAAGAGAGAGATGCGAATATTGATGGTCGGTCTTGATGCAGCTGGAAAGACAACAATTCTTTATAAACTGAAACTCGGTGAGATCGTCACTACAATTCCAACCATTGGCTTCAACGTGGAAACAGTTGAATACAAGAATATCAGCTTCACAGTGTGGGATGTTGGCGGTCAGGACAAGATCAGACCCCTTTGGAGGCATTATTTCCAGAATACACAAGGTTTGATATTCGTTGTTGACAGCAACGATCGGGAGAGAATCGGCGAAGCGAAGGAGGAGTTGACCCGAATGGTAAATGAAGATGAATTAAGGGAAGCTATCATTTTGGTGTTTGCAAACAAACAAGATTTGCCTAATGCAATGTCCGTGAATGACATCAGAGACAAGCTAGCCTTACCCTCCTTGAAAGGCAGAGAATGGTACACTCAGTCAGCATGTGCTACAAGTGGAGATGGATTATATGAGGGACTTGATTGGCTTTCAAATAAGTTGAAAAATAAGAAATAAGAAAAAGCTTCAACGTTGTTTCATTTTACATGTGTATATGGTGTTGTCAGGTGCGAAGATATGGGGACCACACACTTTCTTTAACTTTTCATCAAGAACGATCTATATGGCCTAGTCTTTTACATGTGTGGAAGCCCTATGGGAAGCCAATGTGAATGTTGAGAATCTCAAATCAATGAGATCAGCTTTTTCTGGTGTCAAGATCAACACTTCAAGACGACAAGAGAACTGAAAACAATATCATTATTTATTGCATGGACATTTAGAATCTAAACATGCTAAAAGTAAACAGCTTTTCTGAAAGCAGATCGGATGTCCATCTCACACCTCCAACCTCGCTTTACCTGTTGTAGTGTGTGATCATATTTGTAATGGGCGATCTTTGCAAAATTGGTCACGTGTGTGTTCTTAGATGATTAGGTGTCAATGTTTGATTCATTTCACCAAGTAATCTGCAAATCAAATTACATATTCTATTGGTGAATTTCTATTACAAGCCTGTAGTAGGAAGTATGCCCTGTCAAAATGTTATCTCGCCCTGTGATATTCATCTTGCCTAAATTCAGGGAATGCTTGCCAACGCAATCAAAATCATCAGTCCTGTACAGCTGTTTGGAAAAAGAAGATGCTTGATAGTGGTATGATGGCATTTATGCTACCTGTCAGTTTCATCATAATACCTGAGTTCAGATTATGATACAATCTATTCAACTGATTCTGCCTATCATTCCACTTACTTTGCCAACTAGAGAAACATGTTTGACTAAATAGGCACAATGTATGGAACTTGTGTAAGTGTGTGTACTCTGCAAAATAGTAGTTAATATAATCAAGACCCTGAAAAATCAAGAAGTCATTGTCTACCGTTTGTGTGACTGGCAACAAGTCCCAGGACATGCTCATGCTTCCAAAGATCGCCCATTTCCATGGTGTATGCAGTGAATCTCATTAAGCCTGTGTCTCACAATATGTATATATGTATCAGACTCGAAACAACAGAGAAATAAGGACAACTCTTTGCAGATGTATATATTTCTTTTATTCATTTGTAGCATAAGAGAATTACAGGTAGTCACATTGATGTCATTGATGATACCCCCCAAAAAAATCACTATTTTAGAAATCAGATTTTTATGAATGTTTATGAAACTAGTCCAAGCATCATGAAAGCCAACTGATGTTTCAATTAGAAAATCCAAACGTATTGTGTATATTTGAACTTGAAGGACTGAAATCATGGAATAAATGGTACGTAGTATTACAATCAGTACTGTGTTGTCTTTTTGTGACAATGTTACTTTTTTGTTAGAAAAATAACCTTTTCAGGGATTTATCTAGACCTGCCCAGAGGCCCGTATGCAGCCGCAACTCAGCAGCAATTGTCAAATGAGAATTAAAAAGGTCATTTTCATGTAAGTATTGTCATAACTAATGTTCAGGTGACTCGTATTCCAATGATTACAGAACCAAAAATGAGGAAGAGGCTTAATTTTACATGATTTTATTGAATGCAGTGTTAAAATACCTCTTAAATTAAGAAAGATAATGACTTAAAAAGAAAACTCGGTTATGGACAAAATACCTGGTTATATCCCAATTTGCCTGTCGGGGTCACTTAGTTTGGAATCCTAGATAAATCCCTGCCTTTTTCTTATGTCATCAGTGTTCCAGTCATTGACATTGTGGCTCTGCAATTAACTGTGCAGATCAGAATCTGATTATTGTGGGTTTGAATCTCAGATTCACCTAGGGGGCACAGGTGGCCCAGACGTCTAAAGCGCCGCGATTCGGTGTGCAGAGTTGCGGTCCCATGGACACGCCAGAAACCTATGATTGTGGGTTCGAATCCCGGTTAGCCCCAATTATGTTTCTACGTTTGTCAGCACCATACCCGTGCTCGTGGGTTTCACCGAAGTTGTAAAAGTCTGAGACCTGCATCACTTCGGGCTTTCCTCCCACATTAAGCTGACACGCCATGATATAACTGGAATAAGCAACATTAAAACCCAACTCAATCACTCACTCACTCAGATTCACCTATATCATGATTCTTGGATTCAGCCCTTTAGGTTGTTTTTTTTTGTTATGGAGCCAAGCAGCTCCTGACATGAATATTTTAGGAGCCAACAAATATCTAAACAGATATTGTCACCAGCTACGTTGACCTTTATGCAGCCAAGTGGCAAAAAATAGATAAATTTAGGTTGCTCATCATTGATTTAAGTCACATTTGGCCACCAAAATGGTCACTATTTAGAGGACTGGATTTTGTCAGCACTATATTCATGATCGAGGGTTCGAATTCCAGTTCACCTCAATTGTGGCTGTAGGCCTGTCAACACCATAACAAAAGTGGTAAACATCCGAGACCTGCATCACTTCAGGCTTTCCATTTGTATTACGCTGAAACGCCATGATAAAACTTGAATAATGTTCAAAGTGGGGTTAAACCCAACTCACTCCTTGCACATGAACACGATCAAGCTGATGAGGTGCTATGACCATGATGACTTAAATACTGTTCAAAGCAACATTAAACACTACTCACTCCTTTCTCTTGTACATAATTTTTCATAAAGGTATGACCAGTAAAGATCCAGGGTAGAATAGGTCTGCAGCAACCCATGCTTGCCATAAAAGGCAACTGCTCGTCGTAAGAGGTGACTAACGGCGTGCTGACTGGGTTGATGCATTTCATCGTTTCCCAAATGCGTGGATCAATGCTCATGATGTCAATCACTGGATTGTCTGGTTCAGACTCGATTATTTACAGACCGCCGTCATATAGCTGGAATATTGCCGAGTGCTGCGTTAAGCAACAACCAAACTGTTCAAAGCAACATACACCACTCCTTTCTCTTGTAGATACATTTTCATAAAGGTATGAAATTCCTTTTGATGGCTCACCTGACAAAGTCCGATGAGCTAAAACATGACTGGTCTGGCGGTCCACCTGACGTTAACATTTTGGAATATCTCTGATACTAGAAGGCCTATGAACATGATGAAGCTGAAGTTTTGCAGGAATGACTCCAGCTATGGCATCTTTTGTGTGCTCACATGTTTCCTATCAACCACATTGAAACATTTAGGACACCCCTTTTACACTGCTATTTTCTTTAAAAAGGTCTTTGCTGTACACACGAAAGTCAAGAAGGTAATATTTGGGCTCAGTATGGGGCAGCGATAAAGATTACTTTCAGATTGGTCTAAAAGTTGGTTGGGGATTCTTACAGTTGTGAGATTCTTATTGCGGTATGGTATGTGTAGCTACTAGTGGTCAACATGTCATTTGTTTTATTTTTTATGTTATTAGAGCTCCAGATAACATTTTGAGCAATCAATTTTTTACTCGTAAGGTTTCTATTTTAATTGGGTCATTACATTTTTCATTGGATAACCAAAATTTTTTCACTCATCTATTCATCACTCTGTTATGTTTTTCCCAAAATGAGTACCGGGTAAGCATTTTGAGATTTCAAAAAAAAAATGAAATCATGTTTTAGGTGTATATAACAGTTCTAAACACAGGCTTGACTCGGAAAGTAAATTAGCTCGTAATTGTTTTTCGGAAATAAGCTTTGTTGTATGCATGCTGAAAAAGCTTCATTGGGTGTTTACGCGAGCTGTTTTCAAACAATTGAGTTTTTCATTTAATGCATGCGTTTCTGTGTGCAAGTTAATTGAAAGTACATGTATTTGGGTTTTGAATAGTTTTGGGGGCTATTTTACGCAGCTTATCTCTAGCTCTGTGTTATAAAGTTAGTTATATAGACTACTCTATTTATTTGGTTCTTAAAACTTCTCTGAAGATAGTTTTGTATCCTACTTTTATGCAGAAAGTATTTGGATATCAGTTCTTCAGCAACTTTGGTTCATGTTTGTTGTTTATATTTAATTCAGTTTAATCAGTTGACACCTGCAGCCATATTTATTGAATTTGTCTACAAACATTGTGTAGTAATGGCAAAAAGTAGGTTTTGTATATGTTTGCCATGGAAACCGAACTTGACTTGGAACCCCCAACATTTTGAGTGACAGAAGGAGAGGCTGTTGGCGGGATGGTCCAGGCAACGTTTCACCATCCTATGCCCTGTTATGGAGGAGGAAAAGGTGATACATGTTCAAGCAGGCCTAAACTGTTGAGATGGACAAGGCCAAGAAACACTTACACTGGCCTTCTGTATTGCCAGGCATGGCAATGTCACGATGGCCTGATTCCACCCAATCAGAAATCCAGTTTCTTTAAGTAGAATGGGTTGTAGGTATCAATGTAGTCCTGCACCATGACCGTGGAATATATTTATTTTATGAAAAAATAATAATCTAGAAATGCATACAAAAGCAAGTCTAGCCAGCTCAAGCTAGCTCTATTCCACAAAATCAGCATAGGAATTTTTTTTATTTTTAGTGTCAAGAAGGATATTGTGTAATATAAGATTTCAGAGACTAAATGTTAGTCTAGTATCAATGTGGTGAGGCCTCATTCAGGGTACCGATCTATTTTGATAATATAAGACACTGAACACTGTTTCATTTGTCACATTTGAAAGGATTAAAATGATTCCAAAGGGCAGAACTGGCAGTTTCATTGTATTTATGTGAATATATAGTCAGTTGCAGAACCAAATATTCTGTAAAGTGTAAGGTGAATAGGGTAACCATGGTAACTGACTAACCGTAACTATTTGATATGCGACGAACCATTGATGCATGTATATTGGAAATGAATATAAACTGAAAATGCAAATTGTTGACCTGCCTTTGTGGTTTCCAGGAGCCAACTGCATAATATATATATTGGTACACAGCTAACTGTCAGTGTGACACCTGTTTTGACACCTCGATCAATATTCCAGCTACATCAGAGAAGCCGGAAAATAATTGTCTGAGCCAGATAAACCATTCATCCTGATGCTATTTGTGTATATATACTGACCCTATCTGTGTGTGCATACTATCTGTGTGTGTATACTGACCCTATCTGTGTGTGCATACTATCTGTGTGTGTATACTGACCCTATCTGTGTGTGCATACTATCTGTGTGTGTATACTGACCCTATCTGTGTGTGCATACTATCTGTGTGTGTATACTGACCCTATCTGTGTGTGCATACTATCTATGTGTGTATACTGACCCTATCTGTGTGTGCATACTATCTGTGTGTGTATACTGACCCTTTCTGTGTGTGCATACTATCTGTGTGTGTATACTGACCCTATCTGTGTGTGCATACTATCTGTGTGTGTATACTGACCCTATCTGTGTGTGCATACTATCTGTGTGTGTATACTGACCCTATCTGTGTGTGTATACTGACCCTATCTGTGTGTGCATACTATCTGTGTGTGTATACTGACCCTATCTGTGTGCGCATATTATCTGTGTGTGTATACTGACCCTATCTGTGTGTGCATACTATCTGTGTGTGTATACTGACCCTATCTGTGTGTGCATACTATCTGTGTGTTTATACTGACCCTATCTGTGTGTGCATACTATGTGTGTATACTGACCCTATCTGTGTGTGCATACTATCTGTGTGTGTATACTGACCCTATCTGTGTGTGCATACTATCTGTGTGTGTATACTGACCCTATCTGTGTGTGCATACTATCTATGTGTGTATACTGACCCTATCTGTGTGTGCATACTATCTGTGTGTGTATACTGACCCTATCTGTGTGTGCATACTATCGATGTGTGTATACTGACCCTATCTGTGTGTGCATACTATTTATGTGTGTATACTGACCCTATCTGGGTGTGCATACTATCTGTGTGCATGCTGACCCTATCTGTGTGTGCATGCTGACTATCTACCGGTATGTGTGTATGCTGACTATCTGTGTATGCTGACCATATCTGTGTGTGCATACTGACTATCTGTGTGTGTTGACCCTATCTGTGTGTGTTGACCCTATATGTGTGTGCATACTGACTATCTGTGTGTGTGTGCTGACCCTGTCCATGTGTGCATACTGATTATCTGTGTGTGTGTGCTGACCCTATTTGTGTGTGCAATGAGTTGAGAGACTCCAAACAGAAATGATCTAGTAGTCACTGGGAAAAAAGATATCCTCAGCTTTCCTTACTCTTTACATGTCTAATTATCAGTGAATATACAGCTTTGACTACAGCAACACACCAGCAGTCTGTCTATCAGTGGATGACTGAATATACAACATGCCACAACTCAATTATGTACAATTAGGTATTCTAGAATATGCCAACTGTCATGATGATGGAATTCTATTCAAACAT